CCCCACAATATTAAATATAAAGAAACTCTAACCAATAAATATAAAAACAATTATATTTGCTCGATTTAGATATTGCTCGTGACTCATTGAAAATGCCAAAAGATAGAATTGGCACACAACATACTTGTTATTATGAGACAGATTAAACAATTTAAACACATGTGGATGTATTTTTTTATTTTATGATAATAATAAAATAATGGAAAAATGAATGCTTGCTTCAAGACATCTGCGAACGTTTGAGTAAGGTTTGTGGTCTTAACTACTGAGTATTCGTATCTTTTACAAATAGCTATTAAATGGTTATTCAAGATGAATTAAAAAAAACAATGTTGTCTTGTTGCTTCTATGCTAAACAGATAAAAGAACAAAAAAAAAAACTTGATTTTCATTATATACCCATTTAGTACAAAAGTAGTCAACCGTAAGTAAAGTAGGGACAAACCATTAAGGAAATTGGTAAATTGAGGTTCTATTTCTTAAACATGTGATAAGGTAGAGACATACCAGAGCATGCAGTTAAAAGCTCGAATTCCTTCATCACCGACTCAATGGGTTCAGCGGATAACCCTAAACTGATCAAAAGACTTAAAATTTTCAAATAGAGATTAATAAAATGGGGTCGAATTGATGAGAATGTTAAAAAAACTGGAGGTGTCGATAACCTACAATTGGATGAATAGGGGATTATTTTTTATAATCATTAAGAATTTTCAAATAAGTAGCTTAAAAATAACATACAATAAGAATAGTTAAAAATAATATTATATAAACAACTACAATGTTATCTTTAAAAACAAAAACAATGTTTGTTGTTTTAAATAATTACAATCAAAGAAACTAACAATATTCATGAAATAAATTTAAAAAAAAGTTAAATTACTGAAACCAAATTAAAATAATTAAGAGTTTCCAAATACGTTATTTTAAATAACTTACAACAACAATAGTTAAAAGTAACAATATATACAAAAAATATATTGTTACCTTTAAAAACAAAAAATAATTTTTAATGTTTTAAATAATTACAATGATTGAAATTAAAATCTTAAGAAAATAAACTTTTTAAAATTAATGAATTATAACAACTATAAATATCATTAAACCATATATTATATTTAATTTTATTCATGAGTAACTGTAAATAGAGGTCATTGAGACAATTGAGATTATATAATTTTAAAAGATGTCTACATTATCATATAATGTGAAATACAATATCTATATTCAAATTTTAAATTATCAATATAATATATTTGTTTTTTTTAATTTGAATATGGTGTTAGATTTAAAATCTAAACTAAAATCTCAAACAAACTAAAAAAATGATAATTTATTAAATAGTTAAATTATGTAAACGTGTTAAAGACAAACATCAATCGAATTATCAAATTAACTAAATAATATCTAAAAACTAATTTTTTATAGTAATAGAATATTTTTTCAAAGTGATTTTGTAAATTAATTAACAATAATATTTAAAAAGTAACATAAAATTATTTATATCTATACGGTATCTTGTGTTGCCCTTTCCCTTTGAGGTTGAGAGTTCAAGTCTTGTTATGAACATAAATTATATTTATGTCTGTTTTAGTAGTAGATTATATTTTTTCGTTCCAAAAAATAACTATATCTATCATATAAATTAAAAGATGGTCATATAAGTAAAATTTTAAATTAATCAATCATAACAATTATTAAAAAAATTAACACTAATTAGAAAATAATATTAAGTTTTATTTATGTGCAAGCAAGAGATAGAAACTATCGAGTAATATTATTCAAAACGGTTGTGGTTATATATACAAATTTTATATAAAAATTATTATATCAATGTTAATGTAAACAACCTAACCATTTTAAATAACATATGTTTTTTTAATAGTCAATCAACAGGGGCGACTCAACTAATTTGGTGACTCTAAACGGACCAAAAATTTGAGGCCCTTTGGTATTTACTATACTTAATGCTATAAGCCCTCCTCTTTTATCCGAGCTTGAGACCGACAATAATAAACTAAAAAAGTTTATAAATGGCGGAGTTAGAATTTTTTTTATTATTATGTATATGTTTTTTTGTGAATATATTTAAGACATAAAGTTAACTTTTCTAGCCTTTTTAGATACTTTATGCATGATCTCATATTTCCCAGCTAACAAACATCATCTTGTTCGTTATACAGGTGTCAGGATACTTTCTATCCCGTATGCATGGATTCAGACCCCCTTATCATCAAAACATACCCTGACATAGGCCAAGTGGCATTTGGGAGAAAAGGGAGGGCGATTATTTCAACCTTCATGTACCTCGAGCTCTTTTTGGTGGCAGTTGAGTTTTTAATTATGGAAGGCGACAATTTACCCATTTCCAAAGGAAAGTTTTTATATTTTTGGAATGAAAATTGGATGGAAACAAGGGTTTGTTTTGGTGACTGCTCTTGTGGTATTGCCTACAACCTAGTTAGGAAAATTAGGGGGTGTTGGCATATGTTTTTGCTGGTGTTGGCTATATTTTGGGGTGGTGCTTTTGATGGAATTGGATTCCATGAGAGAGGGGAACTCTGGAATTGGAGTAGGTTGCCAACTGCTATAAGCTTGTTTATTTTTTGCTACTATGGTCATGCTGTTTTTCCAACACTATGCAATTCCATGAAGGATAAGTCCCAGTTTCCCAAGGTTAGTATTCGGTTTTATATTGCATTTTAACCATCATTTATACCAAAGTACATTAAAGACACTATACTTTACAAAATGACAAGCATATTTTGAGAAATAATGACGTAGAAATTAAGACTTTTTAATTATCGGGTGCTTCTATATCAAACAGATTTCCACATCAAACAGATTTAACTTCATCAAAATAACTAGATTTATCATAGATTATCAGATTATCACAAGACACAAAATTCACAATCATAGAATAATCAGCAATGGACAGTTATCAGTTATAGATAAATAGAGAATCAAAGGAAGAACCGAAGAAGAACATGCCTTTTAAGAATTCAGCCTTTCAAGATTCATGAATCACCAAATCAGTTGAGTTCTTGACACTTGAGAGCCTTTCAGAAAGAATAATCAACAATGGAGCTAACCTTTTTTTTTGGACAATCAATAATCGATCAGAGCCAGGAAGAAGAAGAATCGAGAATCAAATCAAACTGGTAATGGTTTTTGCGGCTTGAGGAGAATGAAGAATGAAACCAGAGAACAGAGAATGGCTTCCGTCCATAATTGTTTTATATGGTTCTGCTGATGTGCACGAATGGAGAATCCGGATGGACAATCCCCTAATTGAAATTTGGGTTATGTGGGGCCCTAAGCAAGGGCTTAGTTTCATTCTATGTAAGGCCGGCCCTGTCAATCAATATTTTTTTAACCACGCGAAACAACGTAAACAATTACAAGAAATTAGAACTTTTATTAAATAAATAAATTGCAGATCAGTAGTCGACAAAAGAAAAAACAATATGACATGAGAATAATATTAGAACATTAATTATAACTTCTGTTGTCATTATTATAACATATTAAATTACAAAATAAGAATTGTAACAACATAGATATGACAACACCAAAGATGACCACGTGAATGCTAATTTACCATAATAAGATATAGTAAATAACTAATTAATTAGTACTAATCAGGCTTTGCTTGTGATAATCTTTTTAATTTCAATTTGTCAATCACTTCATGTCCATTTCATTAACTTTACTTTACTTTATGCTAATATGAAAGCGACCTTTCTTTAATTTTCTTACTAATTCCAATTGAAAACTTAAATATCTTCTTACATTATTTTATCATTATAAGTTGTAGAAAAACTTATATACGATGTTGTATAAATATGTGAAATTTGTTTATATTTACGACTTTATAGTTTGCTTCATCTTTTGATATTGTTTCCTATAGATATGTTAATTAATTATTTTTAGAATGTGTTATCAACACTATCACTATTTAACTTTTAAATGTATACATTTTTCCACTCCTAAATTTTCATTTTTTGTAAATAACAAAACTTTTACCTCAATCTTTGGCTGAGAAACCAACTATCCGACAACTCCTAAAGTTCATATATATATATATATATATATATATATATATATATATATATATATATATATATATATATATATATATATATATATATATATATATATATATATATATATATTGCATAAGAATTAGTATTTGTTTTGAAGTTCATCATTATATCCTTTGAAAATATATCAATTTAATGTGTATTTCATCCTCATTTAATTAGAAAGTTTACGGTATTTAATGAAGAAAGACACATAAAAGCACGTATATTTCACGTAGCTACCATAGAATTATTTTCATCTTTAGTAATAATTTCATCAATATTAATATAATAGAGTCGTTACCTCTTTTGTGTAAATAATAATATAATTTGTTTTTCAAAAAAATGTTATCTTTTAGTAATTGTTATAACTTACAAGTATTATCCTAGTTGAAGTAACATATATTTTTATTAATATTTGACTTATTCTATTTATCTCATGATATTTTTTTATTGAAAAAAATATATTAATTTTTAATCACGTGAAATATCAATAAAAAGAATATATAATGAAGGATCACCCAACTTAAACACCCATTGTTTTTTCAAGCATGAAGCATCACACTTAATATAAAAAACCAACCTGTGTTTCTTTGTTGTACGAACAATGACAGTTGCCGAGTTCGCCGGCACGCCGTCGTTTTCCGGCAAAACAGTCTCACCATAAGCAGCCATTTACTCCGGTAACCAGACAAATCTCCTTACCAGCCCCCTCTGACGTGTCCATACCCTGGTCCCCATTTTTCCATCCCCTTTCCAGACATGATGACGTGTACCGGTCCCACCTGTCCCCTAGTCTACACAAAGACTATATCATCAATGTTTCTGATGTGGCATCTGACGTGGCATGTAGCCCGAAATAGCCTTTCACCACCTTATATATACCACCTCCACCGCTCCACCAAAACTCACAACAACACCACCTTAAAACACACAGCTTTTCCACGACCTTCTCTCTCCCTCTCTCTAAATCATGGCTGTTGATTCAGCGACGTCGTCACCGCTAGGTCCGCCGGCTACGGAAAAAGATGCAAAAGCTCTTCAGTTTATAGAAGAGATGACAAAAAACTGTGACTCCGTTCAGGAGAATGTTCTGTGTGAAATCCTGACCCAAAATGCTTCTGCTGAGTATGTCCAGAAATGGAACCTCGGCGGCGCCACTGACCGGAAAACTTATAAATCCAAAGTTCCGGTGGTGTCCTACGAAGATCTCCAGCCGTATATCCAACGTATCGCCAATGGCGATCGTTCTCCGATCTTATCCTCCCACCCCATCTCCGAATTCCTCACAAGGTTTGTTCAACACTCATGTAGCTCGATTAAAAAAATTAGCAAAAGTATTTGTCTTTTATAGAGATTTAATTAATTAATAAATAAATAAAATATTGCAGTTCTGGTACATCAGCTGGGGAAAGAAAACTGATGCCAACCATTGCTGAAGAGATGGACCGAAGACAGAAGCTCTATAGTCTTCTGATGCCTGTCATGAATCTGTGCGTTACTTTAGTCTTTTCCTCTATTTTATTTTATTTAAATGTTAATTGTTAAATTAACTTGTTAGTCAATATATGAGTATTTTATGCTCAATAAACTGTTTACGTTGAATTATACACAACCTAATTACACTATTCTATTAATTAATTATTTGAAACAATATATAAATTACAACCAAACTATTGCTATTTGCTAATGAATTATTGTGTTGTGTTGCAGCTACGTTCCCGGTTTAGACAAAGGAAAGGGTCTATACTTCCTATTCATCAAAGCCGAGACGAAAACCCCAAGCGGTTTAGTGGCTAGACCGGTTCTCACAAGTTACTACAAAAGCCAACAATTTAAAACCCGCCCCTATGACCCCTACAACGTCTACACCAGCCCTAACGAAACCATTCTCTGTGTCGATTCCTTCCAAAGCATGTACTCTCAAATGCTCTGTGGTCTCATTTTCCGGCAGCAGGTTCTCCGGTGTGGGGCGGTTTTTGCCTCCGGTCTGGTTCGGGCCATTAAGTTTCTTACGTTAAACTGGAAACAACTCGCCCTTGATATCGAAACCGGATACCTGAACCCTAAAATCACCGACCCGGATATCCGGGCATGCATGTCGAAGATTCTAAGCCCTGACCCGGATCTAGCCCGGTTCATTACGGCTCAGTGTTGTGAAGGGAACTGGGAAGGGATTATAACCCGGGTTTGGCCGAATACCAAGTACCTTGACGTGATTGTTACTGGGGCCATGGCTCAGTATATTCCCATCCTTGATTTTTACAGCGGTAACTTACCTCAAACTTGTACGATGTATGCTTCTTCTGAGTGTTACTTTGGGTTAAATTTAACCCCAATGGTAAAACCCTCAGAAGTTTCTTACACCATTATGCCAAACATGGGTTACTTTGAGTTCATCCCACATGACTCCTCCAACTCGGTGCCAAACTCGGAAGACTCGCCACCTCAACTCATCGACCTTGCTGACCTCGAACTCGGAAAGGAGTATGAACTCGTCATTTCGACCTACTCGGGTCTCTGTAGGTACCGGGTCGGAGACATTCTCCGGGTCACGGGTTTCCACAACTCCGCCCCGCAGTTCAAGTTCATTAGGAGAAAGAATGTCTTACTAAGTATAGATGCTGACAAAACCGACGAAACCGAGTTGCAGACAGCCATTGAAAAGGCTTCGGAGCTTTTGAAAGAATTTGATACAGCAGTTGTGGAGTATACGAGCTATGGTGACACCAAAACGATACCAGGTCACTATGTTATTTACTGGGAGTTGTTGGTGAAGGATCCGGGTCATGGTCCTGGTCAGGAAGTGTTGGATCAGTGCTGTTTAGCAATGGAGGAGTGTTTGAATTCGGTTTATCGACAGAGTCGGGTTGCGGATAATTCTATTGGGCCGTTGGAGATTCGGGTCGTGAGAAACGGTACGTTTGAGGAGTTGATGGATTACGCGATATCACGAGGGGCATCCATAAACCAATATAAAGTTCCAAGGTGTGTTAGTTTCACACCTATCATGGAACTTTTGGATTCCAGGGTCATATCCACCCATTTTAGCCCGAGTGCACCTCATTGGGTCCCAGACCGACGTTTCTAAGATATTAAGGTCGTTTAGAAGTTAAAGGGTGCGATGTGTAGGTTCAGAAGGTGAAGGGTGAATTGTGTAGATTCAGAAACTGAAAGATGTAATCATGTAGGTTCAGAAAGTGAAGGGTGTGTTGTGTAGGATCAGAAAGGGAATGTTGCTCTAGTGTGTAGGTTTAGAAAGTACTGTAAGAATAATGTATTCGTTGAAATGATGATTTTCTTTTCTGTATGTTATGTTAAACTTTGTAAGAAGTTGTGCTTTATTGTAAAATGTTTACTTTTAAACGCAACTTATTGTTTTGTATTGTTCTCCCGTTCACGGGCTTTACTGTAAATTACTTCATTGTAAAAGGTGCACAAATTAAATGTAAAATAAATGCATTTCAAATAATTTAGAGTAAATTACAAGTTTGATCCGTGTTTTTTTTTTTTTTTTGAACCGGGAACTTCTTTTATAACTAAATAAAGCCAGCCAGAGGCTGGGTAGGATTTTACATTGTGTTAATTACAAAGAAGAGGGTTTTCATTCCATAGTCTCCAATCTAACTTGTTTCTACCTCCTCTATGTTTCATCCAAACAAAAGTCTCGGACTTTACAATAGAAAATATTTTCGCCGGTTCACTTTCAATTTTGTTGAAAATTCTTTCGTTTCTGGCTCTCCATAAACACCAAAAGGCCCCAAATAAAATCGTAAGTAACATTTTTTTCCTTTTGGGGCAGTTCCCCCATTTGATAGCGAAATCAATGATGTTTTGGACTGTTTGGAAATCAGTCATAGGGATATTACACCACTGAAGAATTGAGTATAATAAGTCTTTTGCAAATGGGCATTCGACAAGAATATGACCTCCAGTTTCTTCCGATCTTTGACAAGAACCACATAGTGTCGATGCCATTACTACCCCCTGTTTCGAAGAGCTCCCGCTGAGGGTATTTTATTTTGTTTGGCTCTCCATACAAAACCCGATACCTTTAATGAGACTGTTTTTAGCCACATGAAGTACCCGTCACATACTGGGAAATTAGCTCTTTCGATTCTCTCCCGGAGGCCAGCTACATTGAAATCTCCGTCCACGACATAAGGAGATACCCCTCCTGCTTGTGGGTCTCCTGAATGAAGTACCTCCTCAAAAGATATGAAAGTCATCCACAAGTGGTCTTTTAACGTTTCATTAGTTGTGTTGGTAGTGCATGAGTCACACGCCTAACATATCTCTCTACTATCACATTTAACATCTTTGTTATCTTTTAAATTTCTAACAAAAAGATGGGACTATAATATGAACCTAGCTCATACTAGGCATGCATCAAGCCATACATTTAAGTGTACTTATCACTTTTAAAACCAGCTTGTAAGAAAAGAGGACATCTAAACTTATAAGCAAACAACTTAATTTACTTTCGAACGATTATAATACCCCAAGCTTTGAAGAGCCAACATCCTTGTTGGTCAAGATTTATGTTGGTTAGGGTTGGCACCCCCTTTTCGGTACAAACAACCACTCCAACTCATTGTTGGTCACGGTTGGCACCCTTTTTTAGGGTCGAAGTAACCACTCCGTAGGCCACCACTCAAAGTATTGGAACTTCAAAAGATGGGGATGGCTTTGATAAAAATTGATAGGAACTTATTCCATACAAGGCTCGTATCTATCTATAAACCAAAATGTAAAACTCACTCCCAAAATCCACATTATAGAAAAGTGGACATTTAGACTTATAAGCCACCAACTAAATTTACTTCCGGCCGATATGAGATCGTAACAGACTAAGTGGGTGTTTGGGAGTGCTTTGTAACCTCAAAAGCGTTTTTTTGGAAAAGTCCTTATTGACTTATGGTTTTTTAAAATGAGTTTTCTAAAAGTGTTTAAATTAACTTTTATGGTGATAATAATTTGATTTTTAAAAAGTGTCTAGTTTAGCTTTTACATGTAAAATGACATAAATGACATGTTTACATATTTAGAACCATTTACTACTTTACATATAAATATTTCATGGTTAACAACTTTTTTTTTTTTTACAAATTACATGATATAAATTTATTTTACAAAATATATAAATTTTTTGATAAGACCATGATAATATTAAAATTGCATTCATACAACAGTAGAATACAAATTGTAAATAATTCATAGAACATATCATAAGAAACGTCATATTATATTCACCCTGTAACAACCTTGAGAAATTCTGTCGCTAGTCACCGTTAGCAAATAATAGGAAGAAAAATATAATAGAAAACATTGTAATATTTGATTTTTAAGATAATAAGAATAAGATATGCTCTTACATTTATTTGATAAAAATTGTCCATTAGGCTCTAAAAATTAGCGATCAAAAAGTTGTGACATTTTTCGATTCGGTTAACATACTTGGATAGTACTTGTTAACGTGATCTCAAGGATATAAGATTCGTAAAAATCTAACTCTGAAGGAGAGAGTTATGGATTTTATAAAAATAGAAATCAACCACATAGTTAAAATTAATTACATCAAAACGGTACTTAGAGATTGGTTGAGTTTTGACTAAAAGTGCAAAAAGGAGTTTCCCAGTACTCCTCGAGATATAAACTTTAGGAAAAAGTTTGTCGAAAACGGGATTCATATGAGTAAGTTATGATTTCTATAAAAATCATTAATTCTTACCCCCGTTAGGCTCGAAAATGAAAGTCAAAACCGGCCAAAACAACCAAAATGAAAGTTGTAGTACCTATTGAGATCGTCACATAGATATAGAGAGGGTCTAGATGGGAGCAAACACGAGGAAGTTATGATTTTTAAAAAAATATTTACTTGCGCGTCAAGTGCACGTCTCCGTGCTCCGCGCACTTGACACCGGATTCGGACAGATTACGAGTGACGTGGCTGAGTAGGGAGGTGACACGTGGCAACTTCCTGTGGAGCTACGACGTTTGAGTGCACGCCGCGCATAGGAAATGTACGACGCGCACCCCCAAAACTCGACTATAAATTGAAGGTTGTACCATTCAGTTCCAGCACACCTTCATTCACTTCTCTCTTTCTCTCTAGTCTGTGCGCTACCTCGTGGAGTGATCCCCGAAGTTCCGAGCTCGTCTCTACCCTACATCAATGGTTTCAAACCCTAGAGTGAGTTCACGACCCCTATTTTGTTGTTTTAAATGTTTTTAGAGGGGGGGGGAATACATGCTTATCAAATGGTATTATAAAAATATTTATTTTATAAATGTCAAATCATTTTATAATAAGCTAGATGCCTTAGGATAGTATAACTGTAGATACTATGCCTAGTTTTAAGCTATGATCTTATTTCTAGAGGTTTAAATGCCCAATAATCTAGGAGTAGGCGTTACCATGATGTTATAATGGTCAAATCTCTAGGAAACCTTATTACCTAGGAGTTATGTTATACAAGATTTAGGATATGCATAGTATTTAGTTGTTACTCATCTTAAATATCTTGTTAAAATAACAATAATTAAGATATATATATATATATATATATATATATGTATTTATATATATATATATATATATATATATATATATAGTATATACACACCTTAATAAGCATTTACACTAAAATGCTGAACTTTAAGAGGTACACCCCTTAAAACAACATTTACAACAAGTTTATGCATTTCAGGAAAATCAGAGCTTATCCCGTGAAATGCTGAAAAAATCAAATACTATACATTTCGTTATCTCTGGAAAGCTTTTGACGTGGTCATTTATAATCCTTCGATGAAATCCCGGTAAAAATCTCTCAATGTTGGTCATCTTCCCCTTTATCATGTGCTATTTGTCTCCTTAGTTAAACTATTCATCCCCATCTTTATAGATTCATTTCCATTTAGCATCTACATAGCCTTTCTCTCTAAAACCCTAGACTAAAAAACTCCATCTTCGTTTCTCTCAGCCTCCACCGCAACCGCTAAACCCTTCAATTGTCCTGCCAGGTACACCGTCATCTATGTTTAACCATCCACTGCCCGAAAAGAAAGAGCAACCAAGCTGTGACCATTTGTCGAGATTACATAAAATCGAAAGGAAAATAAAAGGTATATATCAAATCCTTTGAAGTTAATCTCGACATGTGACAAAAAATCCTAGATCTGCCAAAACACCACAAATATACGCTAATTGTTTCTCCTTCTTCCTCTTTTTTCCCACGATCTCTACAAGTTTGCTTCTGTATTTTGATTTTTGTTCGTTGACCATTGGGAATAAAAGATCCCTAATGAACAGGGAGAACGATCAATATAGCTTCAACAATAAATTAAAACTTATGTGCGAGTCCAAAGGAAGAACGGTTAAACAAATAGATATTTGTTTTCTGCTTTCGATCCCCTAGCCGCTCCCTTACCAACGATTTGGGTTTTTGTTGGATCCATCTCTGACCTTTTTCTAGCTACTTCAAAAACAAAAAGACACACTCTACAAATTGATATCTTCTTCTTAGATTGAGATGGTGTCTTTATTCAACGAAACCTAACCATCAAACAGGTCATTACCTTTCTTTTTCCTTTTTATCAAGTTCCTTTGCTACATGTTTGCCTTTTGTAATGTTTATCTCTTTATGATGTTATCAGGAATTTATTTTCTTAGAGCTTTTTTCTCTAAATAACCTTACAGGGACCATACCGTATTACAAGGTGAAAAAGAAAGGAAGAAGAAACAGATAGAAAAGTAGGGCCGGACAAAGAGATATATTCAAAAAATGTTTTTTTTTAACTTGAATATTTATTGTGACGGTCACATGAATCTATTTTGGAGCAGTTGCATACAAGGGTTGGCTTTTACTGTTAAGGTTGGCCCAGGTCAACCCATGATTGATGTAAGAATATGTCAAGTTGAACTATGTAACACCCGAAATCTAGAAGATTATTTGCGGAAATAAATCCTCTTTCTTAGGGACCAACTCGGCGAGTTGATGATGGGAATCTCGACGAGTTGGAGGCTTTTGGGTCGCACATTTTTATGGACCAACTCGGCGAGTTGGTGAAGGGAACTCAACGAGTTGGATGTTGATTGAGAAACCCTAATTTTAGGGTTTGGCACCCTATTTAAACACCTTAAGTCCCAGGTGTTGGCCTCGTTCCCGGTCTCCATAGCCCCTAACCCTAATCTCAAAACCCTAGAGCCTCCTTGACTGTTGTGAGCTCATTATGGGTGTGTTTTGGTGTGGTTGAAGCTCATTG